ATGGCAAACTTCACCTGACAAGGTGTAAGCATGTAAAGTAAATCTGAAAATAAGATGATATTAAAAATGTCTTCTCATCTTGTAGCAGCAAAATAATTAGTCTCCATTAGTCATCACCTAATTACTCCCTATATTTCATGTTTCCACTTCTAATTTGGAAGTGTGTACAACAGTGAATGAATCATTAGGGATTCAGGCTTTGGTTTTTTAGATGCATAAAACCTAACCTTTCCATTATGGACTTAAGTTTTGTTGTAGAAACTGCATTTTACCATCCATATTAGAAAATCTTATAAAGTAAACACTGCACTTTAACAGGACTAATTGTACATGGAAACTAAAGCACATAGAAAGGACAAAGGAAAAGTCCTAAAACTGTGAATGAAGAGAAACACCAAGTTATCCTCTTGACTTCATAGAACAACAATCCATCTTTTCCTTTGGAGTGTAAACTGTTTCCCTGCCAGGAAAGGATACAACTACATCAGACTAGGATCAAATAAAGATGTCAAAGGCATTAGACATGGCATGTGTGTTCAAAATTCCAGATAATTATTCTCCCAGCATTTATGGTCTCTGTATTTCCAAAGAACCCACCTTCTCTGGTGCTTGCTGGGATATTATGGTCTCAGCCATAACAGGTGAAGTCCTCCTGGTAGAGGACTCGTGGCAGTCTGGTCTATGGGCTTGAACCTTTGCAGAATCCCACCAGTGCTTTATTCTTTCTCTTGGAATTGTCCTTATCTGACATGAAAGTTTAGCCAGCAGAGGCAGCTGCTCCTTCTGTCTCCATCTCCATTTCTCTTTGTTTCAGAACTCCCAGGAGGACTCAGCCATAATGCAAACAGCCAAGTGAGAAGCATGAAACAGTCCAAGACTCACAATCTAAGGCCACAGAAAGATGTTAGGTGAGCAAAGACCTTGATAAGTAAATTCAGAAAAATTGTATTTGTTGGTTTCAGGTATTACCTCCTTATCTCACATGTTGATATCAGAATGCACCAGAGCACACAAGAACTTCTGCTTGTTAAGATCATCATTTAGAAGGAAATTTAGAAGGGCAAGATGGTCCATCCCGAATGTATGGAAGGTTGATAGTCATAACTAGGTAGAAATGTTATGCATGAAACATGTTATAGGAAACATTAAATATGTTACAGGAAAAGTGACAATTTTTTTCAAAGAAGTAGGAAGAAGAAGGTAATTTAATTTTCTGGTATTACTTTTACCAAGGAAAGGAACTATTCTGCATTTGTTGATAGGTCACAGTCTCCAGAATTATAGTAAAATATGGATTGGAATACAAATAAGGCCATCTCCTTGAGCACTTTGATTGTGTGTGTTTGGGGGTTTCTTTCTGATTTAGCCAACCTTTCCCTAGCGATGGATCAATCATTTCTGCATCTTGTCTGCAATCACACAGAAGCATTTTAGAGCAGAGAAGATGTGATGAGCACTTTACACACATACTAGGGCAGGTCCCTTAATACAAACATACAATACTCACAATAATTTTTGTGGTCACAGAAAAAGTTGTTGGATAAGAGATTTCCTAAGAAAAAAATACCATTCAGACAGAGACAAAGTAAAGAGCCTCCTCTGCTCCCCTCTCTTGACCTTGTGGAGGTCTGTGTGTGGTACATCTGTAAAAAATTATTCATAGAGTTCACAGACCTTTTTCATATCAATGGGTTTGGTTTTGGCATAACATGAAATGATAGGCAGTATTGCCCTGTTCTGGCATCCTTCAGCTAGTACTGTAAAACACGAGTCCAGAACTGACCATAAGCAATGATACGGTCTTGCTAGTAGAACAATACTCCTCTCAAAATCTATTGCCTGCTGTGCACCCCTGCTTTTGTATCAGAGAATTTACAGATCCTAGAAAGGGGCTACACCAGCACATTAAGTAGATTCCTGTAAGAGAGTTCCAGTGAGGGCTGGGGCTCTGCAATTCTTTCATAGCTGAGAGGGCAGCATTACTGGAAACATCTTCAGTATATGCCCTTGTAAATAGCTTTTCATGCTCAGCATAAAACAACCAGGAGCCACACTTTCCCCCCGGCTCTTTGGCCAATAAGAGTGCATTTCATTTTCTGTGGGACATTTGTGAAACAGGAACCAGAGAAGCATTTCTAAGGAAGTCAGTAATTGCCTAATCTCCTGCAAGTGTACTGTTCAGAATTTACAGTAATATCAGCTTTTCTTTTGTTTGTGAACGTTGCAGCAAATCTTGCTTTTTGTGTTTGTTCTCCAGGCCACGCTAGCTCCAGCAACTCAGAGAGTGGGGAAAATAGTTATGGGACAGACAAAACATCAGTCTTACCAATTCAAAGATAAAAGTAGACCTGAGTCTGGTGCATGTATACACCTTGGATCCAAACTACTTAGGCACCTATTTCTTGAGTGCTGAATGAATACAACCACAACATGAGTAGGCTGGCATGGGAGCAGAGAGGATGCACTTTTATGCTGACTTACATGACTAGGAAGGAGCACAAAAATGGGCTAAAAAGAAAAAGCAAACAAGGATGAGATATCTTTTATTTTCTTTATTTCCCATTTTCCATTGAATCTACATACATTTGGAAATTATTTAGAGACTGTGCATTTGCTATATGACAATTCAGGGCACTAACCATTTGATTCTGTAAGAGTTATTATTGGGACATCTGTGAAATATGCCTTTTTCTCACTTGTGGAGGTGAAGCTATGACACATAAAGTTTGGCAAATTGCTGTTCAAGAAACACTACAGTGTGCTTTGAGACACGTACAGCTACAGTATGAGGAGTCTCAAGAAAATTATATTCCATTGCATCCCTGAGAACAACAGGAACAGACTCCAGCAGAGCAATTAGTTCAGTGGAGAAGTGAGGTCAAGAGAATCTGCTGAGGCATTTTGGCATAGGCACACTGAGTATTGAAAAATCCTTCTGCAAAGGACTGTTTTTCTGGCTCTGCAAGCAAATCTGTAGGGAGCAATTTTCTCTTCAGATGTGTGGCTTGTCCTCACATGGAGAAGTGCAAGTTGCATCAGTCTTGTTAAAACAAATGCAAGACAGAGGAGAAGGGGAAGTCAAGGAGAGTGTTAGCAAAGCAGGGGAAGCACAGTCTGAAAAGACAGCCTGGCAGCAGGCACTGTGACCCAGCATCTTGGACACCAAAAGGGCATGTCAGGGAAATGGTTTTTATGTCAGACTGATGTCAGAGCCCCACCACTTTGACCCCATTTGCAATTTCCTGATCAGCTGCATGATGGGACAAGGGAGATTTCAGATTTCCTGTCTTGTGGTACATATTACCTAAGTTGACCTGATGTGGTGAGGACCTGGGAGCCTAACTGACCCCTCAAAGTGAGAACTGTGGCACAGGTTGCTTTAGGCACATTGCAACCTCAACCTCAAGATGCACCTAGACTGAAGTGGAAGGAAGTATCTATAAAAGGTTGCTGCAGACATAATTCCATTAAATCAATGAAGGTAGAGGTCTATAAAGTGGGGATAAGAAGTTGTTAAGACTGAAAAACACCTTGGAAATGCTGACATCTGACCCATATCAGGCACATTTTAGAAGTTTGAATGAGATGTGAAGGATGTAGATGATAACTGTAAGCACATAGAGAAGCTCTTCAGATTTCTGCCACCAACAGCTAACTCCCAAGTGAGGGAAGTGGTGTGGTTGACTGGCTGGCATGAAAACAAGGCTTATGAGAAACATGGACTCTCCAGTCTGTTTCTGGCTCTGCCAATTCTGCTGTCATCTCTTTATATACAATTGCATCTATTATAAAGTGTAATGATGCAATAATGTTTGTGTATGGACAATGACATGCTCTCATGGCATCTGTGACCCTTGCCACTTGTCACAGCAGGATACATGTATCTCCCCTCTCCCTCTGCCCCAAAGTATACGTTGCTTCACTGAACTTATATTTCCAGAGTGACCTTCAACACAAGATGCAGATGTCACCCACTTTTGCCCAACTTTCATCTCACTAGTGGTGCCTGCAGACCCCACACCTGCAGGGGGAAGAGTGTACCAAGCCACATGCTTCCAGGGAAGATATGCTTATAAGACTAGCTAGTGAAATCACCCAAGACAAGCAGCTAGGGTCAGATGCTTCTGCATGATTTATGTTAGCCACAGAACAATGTTTCTTATTCCACGGACAATGTTTTTTGAAATGTATTTCTCTTTTGTTCAGCAAAGGACAGCAGGGCTTAAATAATGCAATGCCAAGAAACTTAGTATCCCTTTGGTTCAGTATTCTCTGCTCTCTGGAGAGGCTCCCAGAGTCAGGATGCTTGTATTTACCTTCATAACAAATAGCAGTGATTCAATTTACATTAGTTCAAAGGTTTCTGTGACATGGTTCTGTTAATTTGCCCTGTGCACAGAAGCCAGCCGAGTCAGTTTTCATCACTTCCAAACCATACCAAGGGAAGAATGGGAGTGCTTGTTTTGGGCATTTCCCAAAATGCAAAACCAGTAGTAATAAAAATATAGAAGGCATATGGTGTGCTTATGTCTAGGGATGCAGCTGAGTGTAAGCAATGTGTACATATTTAACTTTTCTCCCAGAGTGAAATATATTTATTTTTTGAGGCTGTAAGAAAACTAGTGATTTCTTTTTCCAAGCAAGACTTCACCCAGTTGTGTTGTAATGTAATATGCATTATCCAGGATCTGATAAAAGTAATAACCTAGGCATCATAAGGTTCAGAAGGTAGTTAAATATTAATTCTTCATGCATTTGAAATTATCATGAAGGCAGAAAAGGGAACACCAATTATGCTATGGCACTAAAATTATAAAGTTAATTGCTTTTCTCATCCCCCACCTGGAGTGTTAACACAAGATGTTGTTCAGATGTAGTGGAAAAGGGAGGCAGTGGAATTAGAACAAGAGCAGCATGGCATTTCTTTGCAATAGATTCCTGTTTATATGTTGCACTTATGTAAGATCATGAAAGACAGCAGAGATAGTGTGAGCCAAGAGTTTGTTTTGCCTGACACACTGGAAAAGTTGTTCAGTACTGGTTCATCTCAGCAAAGCTATTATTATTTGAATGCTAGAAAGGTCAGCTGGGGTTATCTGCAGCATAAATACTGGCTGTGCAAATTCATGGGAGGGAGCCTAGTTCTTGCACTGTTCCTTCTGAAACAATGATATTTGGGTCATTGTTTATGAATCTGGCTGCCATGAGTCAATCCTCTTCTCTGTCCCCCTTTTACATGGCCTGTAAACAACTTTCCAGATGGGCTGACATCTCACTGTTGATGGAGCTCTCTGCATGAATTCCTTTTGTGTTACCCCTGTGGAAGAGGTGTGTGGTGCAGATACTCTGCTTGCTGGTGTATGGAAACCTAAAGATGGACCTAGCTGGTCATACTGGCTGGAATCCAGATGGAAGTGAGCATACCTTACTTTGCTCTCTCTGATGCTGTAATTGAATATTTCTGGAAGACTCCAGGTGAGAAAGATATATAAAGAATAATAAGTAGTGTTTGCAAGAAATTTAAATCCACTTATCTATCACAAGAAACTATTTCTGGATGTGATTCTGCTGTGAATTAACACAGTAATTTCAATTTTAAAAGCTTGATTTTCTTCACTAATAACACGTTTGTAAAATACTAAACTTTATTTTTTTGGTATTTTGTGTTGTGGAGGCTACATTTTTAATCCTAATTGTACCCTCTTATGACATTGTTAGGGAAAATGGTGTTATGTGTGAGGTATGTAGTGAGATATTACATCTGGCATCCTGCTAATGGCTTTAAAATCAGATTATGTCTCTGATATCTGAACTTTTCAAAAGATTAGTCAAGTTTCAGGAGTAAATAAATCTTAAATTACTGTAGTTGACATGGGTAATATCATCAGGATTTAATCTTCATTGATCTTAACTGCACACTGCAACAGAGATTAATAACGTGGATTGGTCCTTAATGCAAATAATTCACTCAGTTTGCCCTATTGTAAGAGTGGCTTTGGCATTTGAGTTTTAGATGTGTAAGAAGCCAGAGGCAGACAGCACTGACCATTAGAAACATTGTGTTATTGACTGATGCAGACTAAACAAAAATGCCATTTAATTACTAGAAAATTAAGTTTTGGCTGGTTTGTTCAGATCCTCAAGGATCATCAAAGGACATAGTTGAAATCTGAGCTTTTCTGCAGGCTGACTAACATATATACCAGTACAGCCTATTATTCCCATTCTCAAGTGACAACCAAGTAATATTGAGGAAGATGTTCAGTGGAATGCCAACATAAATGTTATAAATAGAATTCTGATTTTGTGGCAGATTTCCCCCCCGCCAAGTAAATGCTCCTCAATGACCTTAGATTACTCTTAAAACAAAAACAAAAAACCCCCCCACACACAAACAAACAAAAAACCCCCCACACAAACAAACAAAAAACAACAACTAAAACAAAACAAAACAACAAAAAAACCCTAACAAAAATCAACATTACTGTGATAAAATTAAGTCTTTGCTTGTCAGGTCAAATATGTGTTTTCTGGTAGATAAGAATCTATCTCCTGAACTCATGGTGCCAAGTGACATCCCTGTTGACAGAAACAGGAGACTTCTTCAGATAAAGATGGATCCTAAAGTGTCAGAATTTACCTACTTGAAGTTGTTTTGCAACAAGTAAAAACATGATGAATTTTCCTCTTCAGGCATTTCTATTTCTGCATGATGTCTTCCAGTGCCCAGTGCTGATATTCCAGTTTTTCACTTCAAGGGCTGAAGGGATGAAAGTAAATAAAATAGAAATGTCCAGAAATATTTATTACAGTTTATCTATATTTATTTATTCATTTTATATTTGGAATGAATTCACACAATGTGTTTTTTCTCATTTGAAACTGTAGGCTTTTTGATAGGGAATAAACATATTCTAAAATATGTTCATCAATTAAGCTTCTATTCAATGAAAAAATTATTTTGGAAAAACATTTTGATTTTTTGGTGAACACTTCTTAATCAATACTGAGATACAAAGAGACAGTCTTGAAATGTGTGAGCTTGTAATGAATTATTATCAGTTCAGCATGCAGAAAATGTCCATGCTATCAATAATGCCAGTGTGTGAGAGAATTCCCTCTACTTCATTACTTGTGATCTCTACTACAGCATCTGAGCAGTCATCCTTTAACTGCTTGGAAGTGTTTTAAATTTCAGTAAGTGTTTCTAATTAAGCATCTCCTGATCTTTGAATTGGCATTCTTCAGTGCTGCATCACTGAAGTAACAAGAGTGAACAGCAATCTGTTAAATTATGCTTTAAACAGAGGTAAATTTAGCTTAAACCAATACTACTTGTCAGTTGAAATCAAATCCATGCTTCTTACCAGATTTTAGTGCCATTGCAATATTGTTGGATCTCCAAATATAAAAGCAAGGGGAGCCTGTGAGAAACTTCCTTAACTGTGTTTCACAGCATGCAGAACCTTTAATACACTGACATATACACAGCTCTTACTTCATTGCACAGGGAACTCAGAATAGACCTTCTGGGAGAGCCTGGGCTGATGCCAGAAATTCAGATGTGTCCAACTCCCCTCATACTGCAAGTAGGATCACATTTTTTCACAGCATGGGGATTCACCTCCAAAATGCCACCATCTCCTAAAATAAGCTAGATGCAGAAAAAACCAAATTTATGCTCTTGCCAGGATTGCTGTCAACAACCTCTTCTGACTGCAAGAGGTATCACTTCCTCTTGGAGCAGCCACTTTCCTCCATGTCAGCAGAATAGCGACAGATCTTGGGTTGAAATTATTGCAAATCTGGTATTCACTTTTCCCACTTTTTAGCCTAAATGGTTTCAACACTTTTGACTGGGTTTCCAGGGCTTTGTGTCAAACAATAAGGTGTGATAAGATTCTCAGGATAAAGTACCTGCAGCACTTTCTTTTAATTAAAAATTTCAAATTTGCATCAGGTGTCAGTTTAAATAAACAGTGTAATTGTCTTCTTTTTACCCCCTTCAGTTATTTCTGCATAGCTCAAATAATTTCTGTGGATTTGCTTTGGATTTGCAAGAGATTAGTGATCATCCAATACTGAAAAAGCTGAATTCTGTATAATTCCTTTTTTTTTGTGGACTCAGAGTAACCACCTTGTATGTCCTGAAGTACAGAACATGCACTGAAAGTTCTGTCATTTTGAAGTATCTGTCATGAAGTTCAGTTAAAATAACTTTTAGCTTTTCCTGAAAGCCTTGGCTTATATCAGAAGCATCCTACCTCCAACCTGCTCTGAGACTCAAAAGAGAAAAAAGAGAAAAAAAAAGAGAGTTCAAAAGAGAAAAAAATTATAGTCTTGCAAGAGAAAAGTCATGGGATGGCTTGCTGGCATGAAATGCTTCTAAGCAACAAATCATGGGCTTGAGGTCTTTTGTGTATGTTTCTGAAACTGTATTAAACCCAAAAAAAGCCTTGAAGCCAAGTAGTCCTTAATCAACAGGAGATATGTATGATTAGCCATGGCAGAAGATTTTCTGAGAATGTTATTTTATCTGTGAATGCTATTGAAGCATCACTTAACTAGATATTCCACAAGAATGTGTGATTACTCAGAGTCTCAGGGGACTACAGACATGCTTCAGTTTGAAGAAGGCAGAAAATTTTATGCAAATGCCAGCATAACAGCTTCCATTTTTCCACAATATATTGTGTAATAGATGCAAATAGTAAAGTCAAAGACAGTCATTTCAATACTATTTTACAAATAAATATTTTGTTTTGTGAGCAGAGAACTTTTTGTCCCAGTTTGGGGACATAACAAGGCATCTGAACCTCAGCACCTCTCACTTGACATCTTTTTGCCCACCAGACGCCATGCTGGAGTTGCTACTAATTACAATTAAGCTAAAATTTACACTACATATACTACAGATTAAGTGCCAGAAGCAAAGAGACACACTCTCTGTGTCTGACATACAGCAACAGGGCTAGGGTAGATAGTGCACTTTCACGTTTCAAAGTGTGCTCAAAGTGGGATGCTGCTGCTGGCTGGGGTCCCGGTGCAGATCCAGACATGCCTGCATGGAGCCTAGAGCAGATCCTCTGCATGTGACATGCAGAGATGTCCTGAAGGGCAGGGACAGCACTGGGCCACTGTTGAGCCCTGAGCCAGGAGGATGACCACCCTCCTTCAGAGCTAGTCTGGGCATCTCTGCAGAAGTGGATGTTAGTCACAGCAAGATTAATGTGTCCATTTGCAGGTTCTTTGCTATTAGTAATAAATACCAGGGCATCTTCATTACCACATATTGCCTAGGGTGGGAAACAAAAAAAGTATGTGTTTGACATGCAGGCATACGAGTGCTGGAGACTAAGCTTCTTTGGTCTTTTGTGAAAACTAAGCACTCTCCAGTTTCCCCCCAGGCACCTTCAAATTGGCAGCTTCTGGACACATCTTTGTGTGAGCTTTTAGCACAGTAACACATGTACACTAAAAAGGCAACTAGAATCATTACCCATAAAGACAATATTTCTTCTTCCCTTCCTTTTAAAAAGCCCTAGACACAGGGGAAACCTGATTTCTTGCACAAATACAGCTGATAAATCATCCTTATTTTTATTGGAAGTAAGGGCAGTTTTTCTCCTAAGGAAGTCATATCTTTACACAACACCTCACAGATATTTTACCATAGTTTCTGCATACCTGAAATTGGATAATGTCACTTTCTATAAAACTACAAGATATATCTTTAAATAGACTATCTTCAACCAAACCAATAAGCACAAATTCCTGTTTCTGACCCTCTAGACATTTTCTTCTGGTCTCTCTTCCTTTGATTAGTGAGGTTCTGCTCCAGTTTGGTCTAGGACTGCTTGCTTGTATAGTAGTATCTGACAGGGACTCTCTTACATCACAGCACTCATAAGAATAAGAAAGAGGAGCTTCACTTATTGCATGGCTGTTGTGTGGCTCAGTGCCATGCTTATCTTCTCCTACAGGTCATGTCCAGATGGAATATCTTTTGCTTTTTCCCTGGATAAACTGTATGTACAGAATAGGGGCAGCTCCTGTCACAACCAAACCACTTAGCTACAGTGAAAAATCACATCTGAAAAAACTAAGTTTTTTGATGAAAATAAATTGCTTACATTGAATCAGAGTTGTTATGCATGACTAGTGATTCTCTTCCATGATTAAAATTACTCCACCTACAAGCACCCTTCTTCCAAACACTACTGTGATGAAACAAAGACATTCATCTCTCCTCACAAGTAAGTGAAAATGTCAGCGGAATAACAAATATACAAGAAATTTCCTCCAAGGGAATGAGAATGGTGAGAAGGACAGACCTTTTTACTTTAAAATACGTAGTGCTAGTGCATTTGGAGTTATGTTTAGATTGATTTTTGCCTGGGTAGTTTTGGGATCTGGTTAAATTTCTGACAGACTAAAACACTATTCAGTGTCAAGACTGTGCATATTTAATTTTCTTGTATTTTTGTTTTCGTTGTTGTTATTGTTGTTTATTTTACCAAACATTAAATACAAACATTCCCAAGTCTGTCTCTTTTCTTTCCTTCATCTTTTTCCTTCCTCACTTTCCTGTAGAAATTCAAGGTAGCATTTAACTGCACTGTTACAGGAAGTAAGTGTCTACCTTCTTCCAGAAGATCTTGAATTCTTTTATATTTGCTAAACAGCATTGTGAATATTTGAACAGAGCAGCTAACACCCAACACATTAATATCAACCTAAGCAATCACCACTAAAATTACTCCTGAGGCAAAGGAATGTGGTATTTTTTTATTGTAACTCCACCAAAAACCTAGTAATATGATTGAGAAATCAAAATAGAACTAAAATTTTACATCATTGGGAAAACATTTATCTCTTACAGTTGCAACACGTGTAGCCTGGAAGAATGACAATAAAGTACAATGAATGTTTGAGAGACATCTTAGTGGAAGTTTTCTCAGGTGAGGCCATACAGGTCTTTACCTTTTTAAAGACTTCACTCTGAGTGAGACTCAGTTCACTGCTGAAAACCAAACTGCAAGTTCAATAGCTAGATAACTTAAGCTATAGGAAAGAAAATAAAATCTTAATACAGGAATAAAATTCCTTTCGGACAAAAAAGAGATTAATAGTTCAATAAATCCTTTGTATTTAAGCCAATTAAAGGTACAAGAACTATTTATCTTTTTTAGGAGGTGATTATATCTTTTCAAAGTTTAGACAGTAGAAAATCCCTCCTTGCCTACTGCCACAAAAAGTGTTACAGTGCTTGTCCCTTTACATATTATACAAATCTCATTCATCAAGGCACTTTCCCAGACTTTTCCAAAATTGCTTCTCATACAGTGTTTGTAAGTTACTTTTGAGATTATTCCTGGGATGAAGCCATATGGAGCAGAATTAATTGTTACCTCTCCAAATTACCAGGGGCATTTGGGACTTTGTGTCAAAACAGTGGAAAATGAAGCCATTGCAGGTGTCCATGTAAACATCCCTACACCTTGTTCTGCTACACACTCCCAGGGAAGGATAAACACACATCTGGGTACAATTGCTGATGCCAGGGCTCACACAGATCACACTTGAATATTCATGTTTCTGAAAGCATGTAAAAATTTCTGTATTGTTGCCAGCTTTGCTATTCTCTCATAAATAAATAAAGCTTTTAGAAAAGAAGATAGCTGGAAATGGGCCAATTACAATTGCAGAGTTAAACATGTATTAGCATTAATCCCTTACTAACTGTTCAAAGGCAAAAGGAAGCATGTATCTGTATCATCCTAAATATGATCAGTATTATAACAGTTTTAATACAAACAACCTGAAACATTTCTTTTTTAATTTCTAGATACGTGTCCAACAAATCTATCTTGACTCACCACTGCTTGGATGTTCTCCCTCGAAATAAGAGTCTTGTCCTAGCAGCTGCTTAAAAGTGATAGAGGGGATACCATATCTAATGGTGAATCTCAAAGCTTGTTTTGGCCTCCTCAGTTGTTTGAAAAACAAAATTGCAATTTGGAAACCAGTTTGAATCTCTGAAATATAAATAATTGAGGTCTGTGAGGAAAGCAGCAAATAGTATACACACTGAGATTACTCTGGCTTCAGTGCTGTAAATGATGCTACAGTGACATCAGAAATACACATGCTTGGCTTATGATGCTCAATGCCATATATCTAAAAAGAGCAAGGAAGAACAAGAATGTAAATTCATCCTGTCTGTAGACATAAGCATTTTTTTTCTTAGGCATGCAAATCGTCAAGACCACCCAGGCACTTAGGAAGTCAGATTAAAAGTCAATTTGTGACTGAAAAATGAAGGCTCTGCAGCTTCATTCATCTCAGCATTTCTTCATAATGGACCCATTTTAACATTCATCCATGAAACAGAAAGAATTAATTCTGCAGAAGAAGGTGAGGTACAGCAACACACTGTAAAAGGGATGGTGCCCTACACTGGAATAATTACAGCACATCCCCAAAGTAACACCTTAATCACTTCTGGATCAAGTCTCTCGATAGCTTGGAAAATTATCTTGTGATAGCTCTGAAAATTCTCAGCATGTTCTTCCAGTCAAGAAGGTGACAGGCGTTTAACATTCTGCGTTACAGAGTGAAACCATTTCACACATTTGCAATATTATTATATTATAATAATTCATGTTAACTGTTCAGATAGAAACAAATACACATATGATGCACAGACAGCTCCAAAAAGTAGCTTTTAGCAAATACCAAGTGTTGGTCTGTACGCATCGCTAAGGATTTGATCAACCACCCACTTTGGCAGGGCACTCACCAGGTACCATCTTTACTACAAAGAGCCAGTATTTAGAAATACAGAATGGTTTGTGTTAGAAGGGATTGCCAGGGTGTAGAGGGGGTGGACACCCCTCACTTGAGCATAAAAACTGAGTGTTGAACAAGATAAGGGAAGAGGCAGGTAAGAGGCAAATCCTTTGAGGTGGGACGGTGCTCTTTATCATTACAATGTCCTTGCATAAGAGGCTCAGGTGTGAGAACTCCCCTCTGGAAAAGTGAAGCACTTACCTGAGAATGGGACATTCTCAGGTAAGCAGGCAGACATTCATCCCTTCTGATGGGCCATAATTGATTCAACCATGCAGACGTAAGAGGCAGCTATAACATCTTAGAAGCTATCAAAGTTTCCCAAAATGTCCCATGATTACCTTATCCAGCATAAAACTCTCTTGCATTGCCACCTAGCCTGAGTGTATATTAACCTAATGGACTTCATGTTTCCTCCACCCTCAGCAGGTGAAGACTGCACCCATCACTCCGCCCAATGAACATCGAAATTGCAACAATCAGGTCTCATGGCTGGATCCAAGGATGGTGACTATATCCCTTTCTTCTATTCTTTGTTTCTTTTACCTTACACCTTTTCTTAAGTGTTATTTTTATGCTTTCATATTGTTACATTTCTAGCAAAACCAGCTACATTTTAAAATTTGCCAAGAACCTTAACATTCTAAAGTTTGCAAGTAAATGTTTGTTATTGAACCTCCTGAGATTTGTTGTTTCTCCTGCACACCACTCAGAGTTAATAAAACTACCAAAACCTGTCCAATGGATCAGAGCATAATAAGCTGGCAGCAATTTGCTGTCTCTTTCTGAAGAGGTGTAGCGAGAGAGGTTGCCAATGAAAACTGTAAACTTGCGGAGTGCCTCAGCATTTTCCTTGTCTGCTGTTACCAGTTTGCCAGCATGGTTCATTGGATTAGGTACACTTTCTTTATTTGTCTTTTCTATGTGTGACATATGTGTAGAAGCCCTTCTTGTTATTCCTTGAAGCCCCTGCTAAGTTTGCTTCCAGCTTTTCATGAACCTTCCTCACCCCATCCCTAAGTAACCAGATTTTGTCCCTACACTATTCCTAGCATACCTGTCCCTGCTTCCATTGTCTAGGCATTCTTGCCCTTTAGTTCAAGGATAAAGTCTTGACTATTTATACCAGTTGAAATAAATGGGCAGGAGATCTTTCTCCTTTTTTAATGCCTTTATTAAGAAGAATCAGCTCAGGTGGGGAGAAATTGACGGGCTGCACCCACGCCGCCGTTGCCCAGGCATGGCACGGAGAAGGAGGATGATGCAGCTTTGTCCGCTGGTCTGCAGACAGAGCTGGGCACTCTGTCCTCATGGGAGAGTCCCAGATTCCTAGCTTGTTTGTTTAACAACCCGGGGTGTCTCTTTAATCAGTATCTTTTCAGGTTAGGGTGAGAAGTAAAAGGGTCCAAGCAGGTACGGGACTATGCTCCCATCCTTAGACGTCACTTAGGTCACTTGTTGGCTCGTGATTTTAGGGGGTTTTCTTGTAAAAACTGTAAAACTGTAAAAATTCAGGGCGCAATGCATTTCTCATCTGCATACTGGCTCTGATGTCACTGACTATTCTCTTTACTTTGGAGGGTCTGTCCTGGTGTCTTCTTGGCAAGCGGCCAGCATCAGGGAAACAATAATTAATCACCGGCCATTAACAGGTAATTTAAGGAGCCCCTCTCCGGCAGCGAAACCAAAGAGGTCTGACTTGTTTCTAGCTCTGAAACTCAAAAAAAAATACAACTTTCTATTAATAACACCAGTCTCTTCTTTTCTTTCCTGATTTCTTATACCAGTGCATCAAGAGTTTTGTGCTCTAAGGAAAGTGTCCATAAAGATCTGCCGGCTTTGCTCTGCTCCCTTGTCTGTAAGGCAGTTTTCCATGTCACCCTACTGAGCAGCTGGAGTTTGCTTTCCTAAAATTCAGGGTCCTGACTGTGTTCTTCACCTGTCCCATATTCCTCAGGACTGCAGATCCACCAGTGATGTTCACTGCAGCCCTGCTGCCTCCGTCCTTGACGTCACCCATGAGCTCACTGCACTGGTGACCATCAGGTCCAGTAACAGATCCCCTCTGTCAGGGCTGTCCATTACCTGGCTTAGGAAGTTATCCTCCAGGCATCCCAGCCATCCCCTGGATTGCCTACAGCTCACTGTGCTTCTTTTCCACCAGATGGGGGTTGGATCTCACCCTTGCCCCAGCAGGATGAGATCTGGTGGGTTCAGTGCCTCCTGTGCTGGAGCAAGAAGGTGTTGTTGTCAACAGGTTCCCCCTGGTCAGGCAGCCTCTAACAGACACCATCCACAAGGTTCCCTTTGTTACCTCCGTCTCTGATTCTCACCCGTAAAGTTTTGATCAGTTTGTGGCTTCAGAGAAAGCCCTTCACAATCCATTAATTTTCTGTTGTAGAGGGCAAAACCTCTGCCCCTCCTGTCTTGTCTGTCCCTTCTGAACCATTGACATAGTTTAGGAATTTAGTATTCCCACTAAAAAAGACCATGTGCTGCTCCCATTGCCCTCCAATGAGAGACAAAAAGCAAAGTCATGGGTTGAAAGTAATTTACAGGGAAACTTCATGGACAGTCTCCTGTTTAATTGGTTCAAAACTTGTTGTTGTTTTTCAGGGCCCTACCTGAAATCATTATTCTTTAATATCACTGAGAGTGATCTGAGAGTTTGTGATGTAGAATATACATTCTGCAATCCCCACAGCACCTAGGAAAACCTGTGTTTCCTTCTTGCTGGTTTGTGGGGACATAGTTGATATGTTATTGAACATGTCCATAAAAATCTGATTGTGTCTATCTTTTACTCCTAAAGCCTGAATTTCACAGGAAGGTTCCTTGACCTTACTTTGGTTTATGGCAAAACCAGCCTTCAGGTGGGCTTAGATTATCTTCTCCACTTTCTCAAAAACTTCCCCTGCTATGTTCCTCCATACAGTGACATCATTAATGTATTGCAGATGTTCCAAAGGCTCACCCTTTTCCAGTGCAGTCGGAATCAGGCCATGGCAGATGGTGGGACTGTCCTCCACGCCTGGAGCAGTCGGTTCCAGGTGTACTGCACACCCCTCTGGGTGAAAGTGCACTCTGCTGCCAGAGGAATGGAGAGAAACATATTTGCAATGTCCATGCCAGCACCACTTTGCTGCCTTGGACTCCAGGTCATGCTGAAGCTCCAGCACGGCAGCACTCTGTGGTGGTGTGGCTTCATTCAGCCCCAATAGCCCACAGTCAGTGTCCACTCCCCACTGGATTTCAGACTGGCCACGTAGGACTGCTAATGTGTGTGTGAGTTTTTCTGACCAATTCCTGGCTCTCCAGTCCATCATGTCATGGATGGGAGTCATGGAGTCCCAGCCGGTGCAGAATTATCCAAGGTGCACTGTTGTGGTAGTGATCAGTACCTGCTGGCTGGCATTCCATATCCTGTTGTACAGAGGCACTTGGAAGGTGAGGTGGGGAATAGGTTTGCTGCTGTCCTGAGTGTGGACTTGCCTCCATTCACTCTTCCCTTTAAGCTACTGTCTTCAGCCTGCTGGGGAAAAACACAGGATCCCCTTGATCTTGTTTTCTGTTCCTGTTTCCATCTCCAGGAGGTCAGAGAATGGTTCTGCAAGTTTGTTTCCTTCTCAGAGTTTCCTAAGCTTCCTACTTCTTCTGGTAATGCTGACATCAGGCTGAGAAGGTCATCTACTCAGTCACACCTCACACAGCTGTGGTGTCAAATGCTATCCATTATTACTGACACACTGTCACTTGGGCCCTGGATGATTTCATGTTTTCATGGAAGCTCTCTCTGGGTCACATCTAATAGCCACATCTATTCTGGCAAGTGCAGAGGACATGACTTTCTGCCAGATAGATACCATCTGAGCTCTTTCTGAGGTGGAGAAGACCACCAGCAGAACCCTTCTCTTTAGCTGGTAGGATGACTGTTCTTTCTGCATGTGCTGCCATAAAAACTGCTGATGTCCCATGTCCTGTTTGCCTGCGCTCTTAACAGCACTCCAATATATACCCCACCATTTTGCCAGACATTCTTTAGGTTACAGAAGGGGAAATGTTATCTTGAGATTCAACATGGCCAAGTGCTGGTTTCTGCACTAGTTTCACAACAACCCCACAGAGCACTAAAGATCAGCTGGAGAGCTGCCCAGAGGAAAAGGACCTCGGGATGCTGGTCAACAGCAGCTGAACACAAGCCAGCCTGTGCCCAGGTGCCAAGGTTGTGATCAGCCATGGTGTGGGCAGCAGGGCCAGGGATTGTGCCCTGTACTGGGCACTGGTGAGGCCACAGCTCCAGTGCTGTGTCAGTGCTGGGCTTCTCATCACAAGAAAGGCACAAGGTGCTGGAGCAAGTCCAGAAAAGGGCAACAGATCTGGCAGAGGGTCAAGAGGGTAAATCATGTGAGCAGCAGCTAAGGGAGCTGGTTGTGTTTGTCCTGGAGAAAAGGAAGATCAGCAGTGACCTTATCACTGTCTAATACTGCCTGAAAGGAGGCTGTAGCAATGTGGGTGTCTCTCTTCTTCCAGGTAACAAGGGACAGGACAAGAGGAAAGGGCCTCAAGCTGTGTCAGAAGAGGTTTAGGTTGGATATTAGGAAATATGCAACACACACACACACACACACACACACACACAAACAACGCACTGTTTTTCCCCACATGAGAAGTCAACAAAAAATACAAGTATTGTCAAAAATGGCAAAAAAGTTTTTTGCCCTTTACAGTTTCAGCACTTTTTCTGTTGAATGAAGAAGAAATGAAGCTAGGAGGTACCTGTTGAACAGCGGAGAGTCCGGACGAGACAGGCAAACCTGAAGCCTTTCTCCTCCCTTGGAGGAATCAGTAGCAGAGAGTGTGAAACAGAGAGAATGCCCTCTGAAGTCCTTCCCCAGTCCTGCTTCTTCCTGCATACAAGACTCACACCACTTGAACACTCCCAAGGTTCACTCTGCTGGTACTCCAGCTGCTCACCTCCACTGTCCTCCTACACCTTTGACCCCACCTGTTCTTTCATGTGCTCTTCTAACAAAGCTGGAGGAAAAATCTGTAACTGGTTATTTGTTCATTGCACACAAAGGGCTTGCAAAATCAAGTGTGTGGTCTTAGGCATGACCTCTATTTAAGATTCACAAATGTTTCCTGACTGTGTATGAAGGGAGAAGGGGGCTTAGGAGGAAGGGCAGCACTCTAGAGGGTTCTACAGGATGAGTGGCAGATTTTAACTTCTCACTGGAGTTGAAACTTTTTATAGCATCACTTCTGCTCTCTGCCTGTTTCCAAATGTAGAATGGAGCAGCATCTTTCCCACAGCCACCTGGCTTAGTCAGGGAACAAAGCCAAGAGAAAGGCATTGGAGATGAGCATGGGGTCACAAAAGGGGCTCCAGCAGCTTTTTCACAGACCACTAAAACAGTAAATTCCCAGAGGGTTGCATTTTCTGCTCATGGCCCTCTACACAAATTCAGAATGAAGTTTTCCCTGACAGAGG